TTGCCGGCTACATAATTTCGAAAATGGGGTTGACAAAACTAGGCTTCAGGACGCATGTAGAAAGTGATCAAAATTATACGTATGTTAACTGTTTATCGGAGGGCGGTCTGTACAAGCCGAATTCAAGTTTTTTGCATACATTGGAAATTTTGAATTCAAAATTTGTTGAAATTAATGGTGATTCGCTAACCACAAAGCCAAAATTTTTGCTAAATCTGATGAGAAATTTAAAAGTAAATTTGGACCAAAATATTATAAAAAGATTTTATTTGGGAACATTCTTTAGAATTCGATTTTTAAATCGCAAGATTAAAGAAACGAAAATTGTATATCAAAATAAGAAAATGAAAAAAATAACAACATAATGCACTAATGGTTTTTATTATAAAATAAAAAGAATAATTACAATGTAACAGTTTACATTTTATATATTTTTAATAAAAGAGGGGCAAACCACGTAAGTAAAAAAATATCAAGTACTGATTGTGAGTTTTGATTTGAAATATACTCACATTGGTAAAAATATGGGAAAGAAAATACTCCGATGTATTGTTTTAATATTATCAAAGTGGCAAGGCCGTTGATAATACTGACAATTTATGAAACTTCAAAAAATTTTATTATCCGTCAAAAGTTGTTTATTGAAACTACCTTCTTTTTTGTATCATGGGCTTTAATATAAATCGGCATTCGCAGCATACGATTGCAAATGACTCACTGGCGCTTAGCCGTTGAAAAACTTTTGGCAAATAAACGTCCAAGATAAAGTTCCGATACTAGCAAGTCAATATTCTTATTAAGACTCATCAAAAAATACCTTGTCGTTTAAAGAATAAAGGGAATGCCGCATTAAACTAAAGCCAGCCTTTGGACATAAGCTACTTTTCCATACGTACACAGATATTCACCCTCATTGCGTGAGTCGTGTCGAATGCAAGTCGTTTTTCGATAGTTGAATCGTATAGAAAATCTCACGTCATTGCCTAAAATTTCCACTCGACTAGTGTATTAAAACGGAAAAACTTGGCAGCACTGTATAGTTTTCGACGATTTTCGTCGCTTACTTATTTCAGTACGTCAGTAGACAATGCCAATGTTGTCGAGTCGTACAATTTAGCCTAATTTACGACTTACGCAATGAGGCTGATTATTAAAAAAGAAGTATTACATGTGTCATTAATGAAAGATTTCTATATCATGCGTGAAAGATCACGCTTGATGAATTTTTACATCAATTGTGAGTAATCAACAATGACATGAAAACATGTCAGACTTGATGTGTCATGATTGATCGGTTATTACATCAAATTTGATTGCACATTTCTGACTAAAACTATGTTCACATATCAATATTATCTCAATCAAAGCTCGTTTTTTAATCACCCCGTTTACACAGGCAAATCTCAGATTATTAGCCGTCAAATTTGTTGTGCTTGTTATTCTTACATCTCAAGGAAAAGTTAAGTTTCTTCTCTGTGCCACCGTGATCACGTTTTTCTGCAATAATAAGCAATATAAATATATTTTAACTTAACATTTTATTAAAAATACCCTTACAAACCTCTTTTACTTGCTAGCGTACATTATTGTTTACTTTTACATTTGGCATTTCTCCTCTCTTTCGCAAAAACAATCGATAAAACTAGGATGGACACCGAAAAGTTATCGGTTAAATCTGAGATTATTTTATAATTACAGATTAACAAGGGACGAATTTTGTATGGCTAATCTCTTGTTATAATTACAGATTAGGGTGTTAAGCTCGAAAATGAGGATAACCTACTTATATGTGAACCTAGTATTATATTTCTATCAAGGTTGATCACTCATAATTAGGTTAATTCCTTATCTTTTTGGACTAAAATCAAAGCTAACGTCAAATAAGAATGGAAATGTATGTACAAAACACATTCACACAAGCACAAGCACAATAAACACTTACTATATCATTTTTTTTTTTTTGCCTCCTTCAATTTCAATTCACTTTTTTTACTTTTTACATTATTCTCACTTTTTGCGTATTTTTTAATTTCCGTTAATTTAAATTCAGTTGAGTTTGACACTTTTCAGGATTTTGCCAGAAAAAGTTTTTCTGACTAAATCCGACTACTTCGGACTGATGAGAGACACTGGCCCTTATTATGAGCTGCATTCGATTTTCGATCTTCGCTGGCTATCGAAGATCGAAGATCGAAAGTGAAATTCGTATTATGCGCTATGCAAGCGTGTCGAAATTTTCGTTGAGTATCGAATTTTCTGTCGAACAGAATTTTGCTTTCGATGGTGTAGCGAAGTGTTAGAAAATTGTGAAAAATTAATGATTTTGTATATGTTTTCTTACATTTTGGCGGCTAGACACTAATTTTAAACAATTTTTATTAATTTCATGCAGTTCTAACATCGTGAATACTAAACACAAGCTCGAAAGGCTGGTTTTACTTGGGAAAGAAAATCCCAATACTCTGTTGGCACGATCTCTGAGAACAAAATCGTAGCGCTGTTGATAGTTTTAAAATATTTTAAATAGATTTGGCTCACAAACGCCTCTTTAGATGGTCGGAATTTTTTACTGAATCTGTAGACAAATTTCTTAAATATATTTTATATCAAAATATATTCGAAAGACTAATAAACTTAAACTCTCTTAAACATTTGCTACTCCTGGCCAGTTTACTAAGCTCTCATCCTCTGACGAATCGTTGAACCAGAACTCGTTGTACTCATTTTACCACGTTTTTATAAACTTGCTTTCTTTTTTACTTCATTTTAATTAGAACAAATTTACATAAATATGTATAAGCACACTATTTAGTTTGCTCGATTTGTAAACAAAGCTTCTCAGCGGTGAAAAATATACTATTGTGAACAACCTAAACGAGCGAAATTCACAATAGCGCAATTCTTCATCGAATGAGCGCCATAATACCAAATGAAAATTCGTTCGCTCAGCACTTTCGACCACAGTCGAAAATCGAATGCAACTCATAATATGGGCCACTCTCACTGAGTGTTGCTCTCTCATTTTTGCTGTCATTTCCGAGTTAAGGAACGCTTTTTGGACTAAATCTGACTACTTCGGACTTTTCCGACTATTTCTGGGAGATAAGGAACGCTCCTAATTTGATAATAGGTTTGTTCGTCGAAAATCCAGCAAGATTTATCCAACACTCAAAATATCAGAGAGTAAGAAAAAATTCTCTCTCATGTTGAGAAACTTGCAAATTTCTGCACGAACGCAAATTTGCAAGAATTTGCAAGTTTCCCTGCCAGCTGGCGTCCACGGTTGCATTTCAAACATAAAAAATTTTTGTAAATTTTTACATTCTTTCGGATGGCCAAAAATAGGATATACATGTATATTTCTTGTTGTTCTGACTTTCTTTAACATACATTTCAATTTCTTCATCGTAATAGCTGTCAGGTTTCTTAAATGGACTCTGGTTGCAATTGCATTCCGATACCGAATACAATTTTTTTCAGCCGAATTAAGTTCAAATCATTGGAATTAACTAAATTAATTATATCAACAATTATTTACATCCTTTTTTCATAAAAAAGTCGCTCGTTTATAAATTTTTAAATTTAACGAACTAATTTATTCAAATTATTGTAGACAAAAATGCAACCATGCGCCACAACCACATGTTTTTCGTGTTTGCAAATTCTTGCTGGCAAAATTTTTTCCAGGAAGAATTTGCAACTTCTCTCCAAGAGAACTGTCACTTTGCTCTCACAATTTTTGAGTGTTGGATAATTTTTTGGTCTTCACGAACGCGATTTGGGCAAAAATTGTGATAATTCGTACAAATTTTTTGCTCGACGAACAAACCTATTAACTTGTAGGTAGCCAGTGATAGGAATCTCTTATTAGTCTTGCTACTCAAATGATTTGTCAAATGATAGTCGCTGTTCTTGCAGGGATGGTAAAACCCATGGTGGAATAATAACACCATTATTATTTATTGTTATATTTTATTATTATTACTTATTACACCATGATTTCCATCTGAAAATAATCGTCCAGCGAGCCGAAAAAAGTTATTTCTCGTAATAAAGTTATACAAAGACGAAAAAAAAATTCTCTTAAACAAGGCGACATTTTTGTTCTCAAATATTAGAATAATAATTTTAAGTCTCTGGTTTTTCAATGATTTTGGTAGGATATATTAAAATACACCTTCAATAGAAATTGTGAAGTGTTAGTACCAAAAACAATGCAGCTACATGCCACTTTTTAAAAAGCCCAACCTGCTTTTGATACTCTTTTTGTTTTTGCTTATCCTCTAAAATAAAAATTTTTAAATTAAGGTAACCTAATAACCTATACTATGGGCATTGCAAAGGAAAATGGTTTATAACTTTGTGAAAATAGGTGCTTAGCTGGGCATTTGTGCCGACGAGAAATTCAAGTCTGATGTTACATACTTTGACGATAAAAATCAATTTCGGCCACCCTCTGATGACATAACACGCCTTATAGATTTGTAGATATTCATATTTAATAATTTTCTTTTAACATAAGGGCATATTGTTGTTTTCGTACGTATCGAATATTTGAAATTTTTATATGGAAATGATGGAAAAATTCAAGATTTTCGACTCGTACGGAAACAAGAAAGCGCCCCAATATTTTTTAGCTCTTATTCCGTTAATCGGAGGTTTTGCAAACACTTATTCTCTTCATAAATACTTACTATCCGTTTATCAGCCATGGATATGTTCAGAAATGCATTAAGCATAAGACGCATTTATTTCTAAACTGTAATTGATAGAAATATGCCATATGCGCAACCACGGTTAAATGCCTAATTGGAACTTAGTTGCGCAAATAACGCGTCTGCAGGAGTTATAATTTGGAAGTAAAAAAGAGACTGATGCTTTGGCTTGATGCATTTCTGAACGCACCCCATATTTTAAAAGTTCAAAAGATATTTGTATAGGGGTTTTAAATATACCATGTGTTATTAGGCATATTTATGTATATACTTTTATTGAAGTATATTTGTTTAAATTTTATGGTACGTAAACATTAATATATCCATTAAAATCCAAGGAATACAATTCACTTCAACTATGTTAATATATTGTAATAACTAGCATTTATTTTTAAAGTTTGATGAACGTGATCATTTATGTTGATGTAATGAATATAGCTGTATGCTCGATGACATAGCCGTGATCTATACTGGAGATAAAACCTCTGCATTGGAAACAATCATAGTTCCAATTCGGTTAAAAAAACACTTCTTGCAAAAGTTTCAAAAATTAAATAAAAATTAGTGCAGGCTTGCGCAAGAACTTTGGAAAAGCCCGTTGTCACGAAGTTGCGGTGTAAAGATGTGTAAATTATAAAAAAAAAGGAAACAGAGACAACAACAATACAATCAAATAAGATGTAAAGTAAAAGAAATGCACAGCTTAGAAATAAATGTTGAACCAAAACAACCACCCAAACAAGTAGTATTTCCGGTACGTTTAAGTTGAACTGAAGCATTGCAGTGCGGATCTCCTTCAAATATCCGTCATGCTACAAAACACTTGCGTACTATGACTTGGCGTACATTAGTACAACACACACACAAGAATAACATAATTTAATCTAATCAAATGCCAAGTGCAGAAGTTAATTCATTACGTTTTAAATTACTGATGATGTTAAAATTACTTCTATAGTATGGGTTTTTAGTTTTGCGCGGGCAATGGGGGCGGGGGATAAGCAAACATATTATTGCCGGACGCCGCTCCAAATCCAGAGGGAACGGCATAGTTACTGCCTCCTGAATGATGAGAAGGAGGTGCATGTGCGTACATTCCGGATGCACCAGCAGAAGCACTGCCTGCCGCCCGGTGATTTGGCGGCGGTTGATGGTGTGCATTATTGCCTCCATATGACATGCGCGGGGGTTGCTGCTGATAACCTAAAGACTGCTGTGGCGGTTGTTGCTGGGGATTGAAACGTCGCTTATCACCACCTTCGGCTCCAGCACCGGCACCATAAGGCTTATTGGCACCGGTGTGCTGGTTGCGTTCGTAGCCAGCTTGAGGAGCGGCTGAGAATCGAGAAGGTGGTCCACTCGGACGTTGATACATTTGGCCACCATTAGCTATTTGTGGTGGACGCTGCTGATATGATTGAGCGCCACCCATGCCGCCAGCATTGTTACCATAAGAGCGATTACCGCGATTGCCGTAGCCACCACCACCACCCATACCACCACGATTCTGATAGCCACCACGCGAGTTGCGTTTATTATTATAGCCCGAAGATGATGCCATCTCAACAAGTCGTGGATTGATGACCTGCAAAAAGTACATGAAAAAGAAGTAACCACACAAAAAATTGTTAGCCTAACGTTCGTTAGATGTAATACGAAAGTTTTATTTTAAATAATTTTATGTATAATTTTTGAATATTTTTACCTGATTAGCTTCGCGCAGCACTTGTATCAAGTCATTAGCTTTGTTGGCGTTTGAAGTGGTAAACAAGGTGTATGCCGTTCCCGTATTGTTCGAGCGCCCTGTACGCCCGATGCGATGCACGTAGTCCTCCGAATTCGAAGGATAATCGTAATTAATTACGAATTTAACATCGTCAACATCTGTTCAGTTTAGGGTTTTAAAAGCATTGAACGACGTGCGTTGTAGGAATAGTCGTTAATTCGCGTTCGTTCGATGCAAACGTCGAAAATTAAAAATATTTATTTAGAGTGCACGCTGGCAAAAAAATATACATCATAGCATATAAATTGAACAAAAATTTCTCCAACATTGCAAGAAAAGTGAAATATTTTACAACTTTATAATTTAATTGGCATGATTGGAGTTTTGCAATATTTTTAAGTGGACCTCGACCTTCAACGATTTTTTCCTTGTATGCTTGTATGTTTCTTAAATTTTTCAATTTCTTTGGTATTAAAGATTTTCGAAATTATAAAATCATTTTATTAAAATGCGTAGGCAGTATACACGGAGTTGGAAGCTTAATTCATATAGTATACTTAAAAGACTAACAACCAAAAGCAGACAGAAATAATAATTGGTTTTCTGAATGACTTTAATGAGAAGAGAAAGCAACGTACTTACCGAATTCCGGCACAGACCTGAATTTACAATTAAGGGATGTGTTGAGCGCAGCTGTGGTAGGGTGAGAAGAAAACCAAGGATGTTGAACAAGCAAACAAGCGAGCGCACAGAACGCAAGCACGAGCTAAGCGTACTCGCAATGTCTTTACATACACAATAGGTATTTGCAGTGAGCTCCCATATTTTTATTACCCAGCTTGACTCCAGCACACATAGTACGTATGCGCACCGGATTGTTTAAGCCGAACTTGAAGCACAGCATTTGCGCGTTTACTTTTTTTAGCTATGATATATTTACATTACTGCCTTTTTTTTGTTAAATTATATATAACCTAAGTGTTTACTTATTGCTAATAAATACTAAATCTGAATTTAGCTTTTCTTTATCAAGCATGATTTGTTAACTATCAAAAACAAAACTGCAGAAACAGATTTTAGCATTTGTTCTGATAGGCCGTGTTTTCGCATTTGAAATATTTTAGGAAGTTATAAACTTTTTCATAGTTTTATATACAAGAAAAAATCGAAGTCCATTTGAAGAAACGGTGAAGTTGATATTTTTGTTCACACATAAATTGTAATAACTGAAAAAATGCAACTGCCAGTCAAAAATTATTAGGCCCAAACTCTGAACAATGTGCGTTGTTTTTCTAATTATTGAAACCCGCAAGTGTTTGTCCCCCTAACCATGCTAATGACTGCTGCTGATCTAATGGCACAGATTTGACTCTTACCGACTTCCGTATGTACAAACGCTGAAAAGCCTTTATATAGTAAGCAACGCTTTAAGTATTGGCATTAAATAAGATTTTACAACAGGAAATTAACGATTGTTTTTTGATATTAACTTTTATATGAAATGAATCAGTTACTGCTTTTATTCTAAACAAATTAAATGACGAATTATAAAAAAAAATAAGTAGCCAGTCATAACTCCTACATAAGTAGTCCTTTTAAGTAACCAAACAGCTGTCATGATAAGCACAGTCACGCCCGCTAAAATATACTATTCTATTCAGATTTTGCGGCCACAGTTTCCTTGACTGACACTATTCTTTTTTATATAGGTACATAAACATACAAAATACAATCCTAGTTAATTAATATGACCCGTAACCTGACAGTAATGTATGGAAATACACATTCCTCATTATTTACCCACACCTTTTTCAGCGAATCGTCCGCAAAATTATTGCATTCAGTGTTTTTATGAGCAGTTGGCTTTAAATTTTAACTCCAAACTTTACCCGCTTGTTTTTTTTTTAACGAACTTATAATTATACCCCATCTTATCTTTAATTGGACGCATTCGAAACAATTATTAAGGCGTTGGGTTTCGCTGATTCGCATCATGACAAAAAATATAATTCGCCATCGAACCAACAAAGTAATAATGATAGAATTTTCAGCATTTCGTCCACAGCATCACTCGCAGCTACGATCAAAGAGTCAAGTTATCGCCGTAGCCGCAGCTATATAGCGGCAGCGGCGAGGAATGTAAGGAAAATTAGTCTTACCTAGGCCGCGTGCAGCCACATCGGTTGCTACCAAAATTGAGTGCCGTCCATTACGAAATGACGACAAAACAAAATCACGCTCTTGTTGCGACTTGTCGCCATGAATAGCACACACGCGCCATCCACTACGCCCAATAGTACGGGTTATTTCATCGACGCGTTTCTTTGTCTCCACGAAGATAATTGTCTTCGTTTCGGATTCGGCAGAAATTTCCGACAAAAGCTTTATGAGCTTATTATCTTTCTCATTCTCTTCGCACACATCTACTATTTGAAGTATATTGTGATTGGCTGAAAGTGTTAGTGAGCCAATGTTAATCTGTATATAGTTATCAAGGAATTCTTCAGCAAGATTGCGCACTTCTTTTGGCCATGTCGCCGACCACATTAACACTTGACGATCTGGGCGAATCTGCTTTATTATACGCCGAATTTGTGGTTCAAATCCCATATCTAGCATGCGATCAGCCTCATCCAATACTAGATAAGTACAACGGCGCAAGTTGGTTACGCCCCGCTCTAGGAAATCGAGTAGGCGGCCAGGTGTAGCAATCACAATTTCAACACCGCGCTCCAAGTCACGCGCTTGAGGTTGTTTCGGTGCTCCGCCGAAAATGCATGTATTGCGTACATGAGTCTGGGAACCGAAATCGTTTGCAACTTGTTGTATCTGTTGAGCTAGTTCACGCGTAGGTGCCAAAATGAGAGCGATGGGCCCATCACCGCGCTCCAAACGAGCCTGATGACTGATGTGTACCACAGCGGGTAACACATAAGCGAGGGTCTTACCCGAGCCAGTCTGTGCTACACCGACCATGTCCCGTCCACTAAGAGCGATCGGCCAACCCTGAGCTTGTATAGCAGTTGGCTTGGCAAATCCCATCTTCTTTATTCCAGCTAAAACATGGTCCGGAAAACCAGGCTCGCTAAATTCAATGCTGGGCGATGGAATGCTATCACCTTTCAAAGTAACCTCATTGGATGTGAGATAACCATCCACATCTGTTTTTGAGCGTTCGGCAACAGTCGTACTAGGTTGATAGAAGTTTTTTTGGAACGGTGACAATTTTATTTCAGACCAGATTATATTAGGCAAACGATCCCCGGGTGAGCCGTTGTTGATGGGTCCGCCATTCATTCCACGATCATTGTTGCCGCCACGTGGCGGCCCACCTCTAAACGGAGCACCATTGCCACCGATGCCACCGCGAGCATAAGGTGCAGGACGAGGACGTGCAATACCACTGCCACGCATTGGACCGCCGCGTTGCTGATCACGATAGCCGCCGCCACCAGCATTGCCACCCATACCGCCCATTCCACCAGCTGGAGCTCCGTTACGTCTATCGAACCTGTGTAAATAGCAAAAGAAAAAAAGTTTTGAGTATTATTTTATAGTAAAATGGATTTACTTTAAATAATTGCAAAAATACTTTTATTATGGCCGTTACATGTATTTCACTGCATTTGTAGAATGCTAATTTAGACGGGTGTCAAACCATTTTATAATCGAAGCTATGCAGGGCTATCACAGAATCCATCGTAAACCGATTTTTCGTGGAATCTACGAAAATACTATCACTAAATCCGAACAGCTACGAACGTAGCGTATGCTTCGATGGATTCTGTGATAGCCCCATGGTACCTAATTGGGTTAACTTCAAAGAAATGGGAATGAATTCGGGGCGATATCAGGTAAATGTTTAGGACAATTTCATCTCAAACATTTGTCTCAAACAATGCCTTTTATTTCTTAACTAAACTCGATAGAAAGTTTTCTACTTTTTAGTTCACATTGTAATAAAAGCGAGTTTTTAAGTTTTTTATACTATAATTAGATTAAAATTTTATATGGAAATTGACACGAGAATAAAAACTAATTTTGGATTTAAATTGCTGGTGAAACCGGCTGTTATCTAATCTCATATGGTTTATAAATTTTGTCAAACTAAGCACGTCAAGTATGGGGCTATTCGAAAATGCAGCAAAACAAAGCATCAGTATCTTTTATTTCTAAACTATAATTAATGGAAATTTTCAATATGCGCAAACACGGTTAGATACCGAATTGTCCGTGCCGTGGTGTGGATGTAATTTTAAGTAGAATATTTATTGGGTGAAATTACGCCAAAAAATGATTGCTGATTGTACGAGGGGTTTTTCAACATGAGGAACTCCAAATAAGAAGGCTACCTTGAGAATGTTGTAAAAATGAAGAAGTTCTCAAAGATGCAAGGGGAGTTGAACCCTTCAAAGGTACGTTTTGCAATACAGCTCGTTCCGGATGATATTCACTGCATTGTGCTTGGCCCAAATCCGAGTCAGAAAATTATCCGTTGAATACCACTCGTGCTTCAAAAGTAATCGGATATTTTCATTATATTTCTCTACCTTGGAAAGTTTATAACAGATTTTGCGGGGTAAATGTCCCGAGCACAAAGTTATGGAAAACATTCTACAAGTGTGTGATGCTACTACTGAATATTTATGTGCTGCTTTCACAAAAGATAGAAAAATATATGCAAAATAAACTGTTTCAGGGCTAATAAATCTAGGGTCATTGAAAAAGGTTTTAAAATCCTATAGCTTTTATGGAAAAAATTGGCTTACATATTTTATTGTCCCGTATTCGGCTGCCTTAAACCGTACTTATAACGTAGAAGGCTGCTAACTATGCAAGTACAATAGGGGTATTCACGAAAATAAGCAAATTCACTCAACGAAAATAATTATTAGTTGACTTTTATTTTTTCCACTCAGAGATAAACAATTAACGAGTTTTATTTTTGTACTTAACAAAAATTTTTATCTATAAAATTTAAAAAGGTCATAAACAAAAATTTTTATCTATAAAATTTAAAAAGGTTATACGCAACCAACTGAAATTTTGACCAGAAAATTTTAGGACTTATTACTTTTATTAGGATGTCGCTACCTCTGAAAAGGATACGTCGGAAATCACGGTGGTATAGCTTTTGAGTTTGATTAATCTTTATTGTTAAGTAAACAAATAAAAAGCAATAATGACCCTCATTGCGAGAGTCGTTTCGAATGCAAGTCGTTTTTAGAGAGTCGAATCGTATCGAAAGTTTCACGTCATTGCCTAAAATTTTCACTCGACTAGTGTATTAAAACGGGAAATCTTAGCAGCACTGTATAGTTTTCGACGCTTTTGGTCGTTTACTTATTTCAGTACGACAATAGACAATGCCAATGTTGTCGAGTCGTTCAATTTAGCCTAATTTACGACGAACGCAATTAGGCCGAATTCTTATTATCTTTGAACGGGATATAAAAATTATAAAATTATAATTAGCTTTGATCGAAAAAATAAAAATCCAGCAATAAAAAAATTTCCTTTGAGCGAAAAAATTAAACTCAAATCTACTTATGTACTTATTTCTAAAAGGTATTTTTCTGATACCAAACGGATTAATATTTTATCAAATTTAATTAATAATATGGCATTTTAAAGGGGACATGCGAAAAATTGTTACGTTGTTCAAATTTAATTATTTATTAAAAAAGATGGGGTTTTAAAAAGCTGAAAGCACTGTATCTGACCAAAACAGCGCCATAACTTCTGTAATAGTTCATCAAGTGGAATGATTGAAATACCATTCTGAAAGAAAGCTCCACTGCTTGAGGTAAAAATAACAACTTTTTGATAGGGTTGCCACCCGCTTAACATTTTTGGAACGTAAATATATACTGACTAAAATATTACAACGCATTCAGGCTATTTCTACCCAACATAAACATACATATGAAGCGTCGCCGCGAATAACATCGGAAAACTCCCGCTTCTGACATGGGCAGTTTGTAGTTAGTGTAATAGGGCTTTCGCACGAAGCGATTTTTCAGCCAACTTTTGCGTTCAACTCACGTAGGGTGGCACGAAAAAAAAATTGAATGGTTAAAAATATCAAAATATAAAAAATTAAAATATTCGCCATAAAAAGGCGTTTGCACTGTTCAACTTGGCATTCTACTTTTGGTTGAATGGCCTTTCAACTAATCGCTTTCATCAAAGTTGGTCGCATTTAGCCATTCAACTTTTTTCGTGCAATCCTGCGTGAGTTGAGCAAAAGGTGAGCACAAAATGGCCTCGTGAGAACACCTTTTAAACGAACATAGCGACAGTGCAGACATAGGAACACATCAAGATAACCCCAACCGTTCAGCTATGGGAAAACTAAAAATGCCGACCGATAGTACTTTTTACGCTGATCTCAACTATATAAATCTTAATATTGTTTGCCGCAATTAAAAAGTAAAGAAGATATATGAGGTTAAAAAAAATGTTTGCGATATTTTAAAATATTAATATTTTCTAAACCGTAACCAATTAAAAAAGATTAGATGTCAAAATAAAGACAATTTATTTAAGCCAAAAATATTATAAAACAAAAAACTTGTCATATTTTTTTCATAAAATAACTTGTTTTTAGAAAAAGTCCATAATTAATGACGAAAAAATGTATATTATATAGAAAGTGCAAGTTTTTACCATTAATTTTATATACATATTATATTATGGTTTGCCCATAGTCGTGGTAATTTGAATCAGCTATAACTTTGGAACCATATGTGGACATATACATATATGTATGTCACATGAAATTTAAATTTAGTATGCAGGCGTATCTACGGTAAGTGCTTATAGTAAAGTATATATATATATACATATATATGAGCTTTTGAAGGGGGGGCGTGAAATATAATGAACTTTGTTATGAATACATTTCCATGGCAGGTGCTTATAGTAAGGTTTGTATATGTTACAGACCAAACCCGATCTTAGGACAAATAAGTTTTCCCTGGGCGAAACTAGTTCTGTCTAGATTCGATACATCCATCTAAACGCGAAGTCAAGTTGGACGCAAGTATATTGTGGACGGCGTAGTTGGAGTTGGACTGATGGGGGTTCTTTTTTTGAAGCGCGGAGTTCTGCTCAAAAATACTGTGGCGCCTCACCTAGTTTAGCCTAGTCAAAACTGATTTGTCCTAAGATCGGGTTTGGCCGGCAACATATATATGAGTTTGTAAAAGGGAACGTGGAGACTAGTCGTGGAATTAGTAATCAGCAGTAATTAGTAATTGGGAACCATAATTCACATGAACTTGAAATTTGGTATGCAGGAGTTGTTTAGAGTAAAGTATATAAAAAGTATGATTCATAAGGATGCCTTAATTTAAACAGAAAGAAAATAATTTAATTTATGCTGAACTGAATATTTGTATTACTGTTTTATATTTTGATTTGTTTACCCCGAACGACGTCGGGTGCTCTGCTAGAGTAATAAAAAACAATAGTACCTTAATATAGAAAGGCCCCATCTAAAATATTTGGGAGATTCACAAAGGCGTCGTAAGTATTGTATTGTTGTATGTCGTAAACTTTAAAAGCATAAATAAATGTTTAGAGAACTTGAAACTACTACCAACTATTTTCTAACACTGTGGAAATTCAAAATATTACTTTGATGGTACTTTGCGAACCTGCTTAATATATTTTTAAGGCGTTTAAAGTTTACGACATACAACAATATGACACTTACGACAACGTTGTGAATACCCCAATTGTTTATTTGCAAAATGACTGAAAACTTTACACAACTGGGAATTTCTTTACAATGCTGTTTTCAATTGAGGGCCATAATTAATTAAATGTAGTAGTGGTTTTTGAATTGCACTAAGTTTTCAGTGAGTAATCTACCGACATTTGCACAAAGCAAGATTTTCAAAGAAACTGAGATAGGGCTTTTCTCTATTAAGGTAACTATATGTACATAAGTATGTACATATGTATATGAGACATTTTAATTACATTTTTGATAAGGTTCTGTAGAAGCATTTGTTCTTTTCTTTATCCAACAAGTAATTTTTAAGCAAAAAAAAAATAACCGACTTCAATTCTCATATAAAAATTTAGGACTACCGTTAATTTCTTCATGATCAAATCTAAACCAGTATGGGACTACCCTTTAGGTACCACCTTTCCGATAAAAAAAAAAAAAGAATTATCGAAATCGGTTGAAGAGGATATGCAGTAACATACATAAAAAAAATAAAAAAATATTCCAACGAATTGATACGCTCCTCCTTTTTTGAAGTCGTTTAAAAATAGAATACAACTTTACAGGTCCTTCTTTTTTAGTCTAGTTACTTCTTTTGGAATAAGTCGAAGCAAGTCCATCAATCCTTGGACCTACCAGTTTTTGATAATAATTTTGTTTTTTGCTTCTACCGTAAAATAAAAAATTTGTTGGCTAGGGCCTTTGTGAATTCAGGTGATCAGGTGACGATATTGTAACATTTGTGGGGTTATGCTTAAGGGTCGTAGTTATTTTTGCGCAGATCTTGTTTTTGCGTATGAAGCCTTCGGCCGCGCTTAGAGATCTTAACCTTTAAAAGATGTTCACATGAGGCAATTTTAACGGCTGTTTTAGAGGCGATTAGTTGAATCAAAAGTTTACTGCGAATATTTTGATTTTTTTCATATTTTGATATATTTTCTTACTTTGATATTATTATTAATTCAACTTTTTACTGTGCAAAGCTGCGTTGAGTTGAACGCAAAGTTGAACAATGCAAACACTGCTTTAGGGGTCATAACCCTTACTAAGCAGAAATGTCTTTTCTGTGTCGCCGAAGAGGAGGGCCCTTTTTTAATGAACTACAATATAGGTCCGACCGATTAACCGGCATCGGCATCGGCTAGTATCGGCACAAAATTGAGCTTCGGCATCGGCATCGGCCTTTTTTCGCCGATTCTTTGCCGATTATTTGGATTTTCTTTTCATACATATGTTCAGGTGAAGCGACAGAAAACAGCCAACATCAAAAACCATTTGCAGACAGCTCACAAAAATTATTTTTTTTTGTTAAAAGTGGTTCACGTTTTTTTCCATACAAAAGTATGTTCGACAATTTACATTTATATGTAGGAGACACTGCCAGCAAAAAAACAAAATTGCTAAAAACAAATGGGATTTTAAAGCAGCTTGAAATTCGCCCATTATACTAGGATTAAATGGTCTACAAAACTGCACACCAGAATTTTTCTAATTTTTGTACCAAAATTGAAATCTGATTTATATTTATACTAGACTTATATAAAAAAATTTAACTATAAATATTAAATAAACAAAAGACAGATGCCAAATGACAAAACCGGTCAATATATCGCAATTTTTTTGTGGACCTCTATATGTATGTACATATGTATATACCTAGCATATAAATTCTTATCCATTGAATGCAAGGAAGTGTAGTTTAGTACAAAAGGAAATTTTATGTTCCTAAAGGAAATTTTATGTTCCTAAATATTTCTTCCTTAGCACCAGTGTTTTATGTAATGTAGCATGTAGTTCTTTAGCAATAATTATACAATTTTGTAAAATTTTTTTAGTAGTTTTGGTTTATAAATATAAAAAATAAATAAAAATATTTATAAATTATGAAGAATAGCTGAAAGATAAAGTAACCTGAGTTTCGTCCGAAAAAATTTCACCCGAAAATTTTTATTCCGCCCATAATAAATATATGGAAATAAAAATTTAAGTTGTTGTAGCGGCTACAACAACCCCGCCCAGATCGGTTAGTCCTTCATTCGTTGTCGTCCAGCTCTACTATCGGTAGCCCCAGGAAGCGTGCGTGCATGACGAGGCTGGTTATCTTTATTTTGACATCATTAGTTTTTTAATTGGTTATGTAGTCCATAAGATATTATTTTATAATTTCGAAAAATTGAACTTTAATTTTACTGTGCCAAATAATTTGGAGATTTGTATGTAGTACTCTAGATGTATGCCAAATTCGTTTGCATTTTTTCGTATAAGCCCAATCAACGGCCGAGTGCCACCTTTTAAGCTTTTATATATGTATGTATGTATGTATATATGTAATCGTAAAAACCTGCTTCCATTAGAATTAAAAAATGCATCATGACCCTTTGTAGTAATGAGTCATGCGGTTTATGAGTGAATTGAAAATTAGCACGTTTGTAAAACGTGAAAAATCAATATTTCAATATGTAACTAGGACTATGTACGTATGTACATACAGCAAGATTTATCAATGCATTAAAGTTCATGGAAACTGTTTTATGCTTTGGTGGTTTTAACGACAAAAAATTTCGTGCGAAATCCGTGCAAACCCGGTGAAGTTTTATGTACCTTTAAATTTGTACGTGGCTCAATTAAAGATCACCATAACCTCAAAATAAAAAAATATGTACATAATTAGTTTAGCTTTTTTCGTTGAGGAATAAAAGGCTTCCTTTATAAATCACAGTTAACAACATAGGAATTTATAAAAAGCTGAACCGACACCATTTTGATTACTTAAAAGCTCGAAATTACATTTTTTATAGATTTCAACGTCTCTAATGTGCCCCTAAATATGGGTGCTGCGCATTTTCTTATAGATACCCGAAATGAAATGTATGTACTTACATATATGTATGCCTTTATACTTAAGCTATTGATTTTCATATGAAATCATTATATTTCTTATATTTAAAACACTTTCACCAATAGAATATAGAAACCAGATATACTTACATTTTCCCTAAGTTTTGATGGTAATATCAGCAAAGAAATACTTAAAATACACTTTAATTCTCTTGTGAAAATTATTTTCGTCCTCCTTCACAGAGAATTAAATTGCTGATTGAAAAATTTCGTGTTTTACCGATGTGTATATCCCAGAGTTGCTCATTCGAATATGTTATCGATATATGTTTGGAACTTCAGCATAATGGGGCCTTCGCACATGGCGAGTTTTCAGCCAACTTTTGCGTTCAACTCACGCAGGGTTGCACGAAAAAAAATTGATTGGCTAAAAATATCAAAATATAAAAAAATATAAAAATATTCGCGTTAAAAAGGCGTTTGCATTGTTCGACTTTGCATTCTACTTTTGGTTGAACGGCTTTTCAACTAATCACTTTCAACGAAGTTGGTAGCCAGCCAACGTTAAGCCATTCAACTTTTTTTGTGCAAACCTGCGTGAGTTGAACCCAAAAGTTGAACGCAAAATGGCCACGTGAGAACACCCTTTTAGGGCTTTCGCACGAGGCGATTTTTCAGGCAACTTTTAGCTGAAAGCAAAAATAGCCTCGTCCGAACGGCCTTTCAATTAATCGCCTTCAACAAAGCTGGTCGCCAGCCAACTTTGAGCTCGTTCAACTTTTTCCTTGCGCCCTGTGTTTGTTTACATTCTGTATATATCCTTTTTTTCTTTTTTACTTTTTTACTTTTATTTTATCTGACAACTTTTTCACTTTCAACTTCTCATTCAACTTTTGTTGCCTGTAAAATCGCCTCGTGCGAATGCCCTATTTAGTCTCCTTTCAGACACGTCAAGTCTTGAAAGCAATTTTTTCTCTTTTGTGTTTTCTATTTGCTTCCACACGCGTCAACTTTAATTGAATTCAAGTCCTTGGTTCTTAAATGGGAAGCAACGAAAAGATCAAAAGAGACAGAAAAATTGAAACGAATTGACGGTACGGAGGTATCTGTACTCTTCCCCTCTCTTCCCACCTCCTTCGCCAACGAACGAGCACACTTGAAAGCAAGACTTGACGTGTCTGAAAGGGGACTTACACACACTTGTAAAGGCTGATTCACATACAACTTTCTTCGCTTTGCTTGATAGTTCTTTGCTTTGACATATAAGATCGATGTAGGCATATGCATGAGTATGCTCACATAAAAAACTTTGGAAGCAAAGCAAAACGAAGCAAAATCTTGGGCAACTCTCAACTTTTGCCCGCTTTGGCAAACAGCTGTCTACATGTATCTTTTCTCGTGCGCTTGCATTTGCATTTAATGACAAATAGGGTAAATAGGAATTATTATTGCTATTACTAATGCATATTATTATATTAATATCTATTTTACAGATAAAAAATATGGAGGAAAAGGAGAACGCAAAAGCTGTCAAAACGTTTATTGTAGCATACTTTCTGCGTTTCACGCTCTGTTGTCAAAGTTTGAACTGTCAAGCAAAGCGAGGAAAGTCGTATGTAAATGGCCCTTAGACGTTTGACCAACGAGTTGGAGCATGGGTGCGTTCATGAACCAACTAACAAGATCACGCAATCGGAAAAGAACGAAAAAGTAAATTTCTGAGCGTTTTTGACATGTGCCTAAGAATGGAAACAAATAAAGAAAACGAAAAAGGCGCGGTGATTGAGTGCGATTAAATTGGTATTTATTATAAAATATACGAACTGAAACTTGACGACAATTAGCAAAAAAGTCCATAAAATGTGGTTTTCATTATTGAGAGCGTTTTACAATCACATATCATCAGCACGGGTCGATTTTTCAATGCCAACATTCTGACCGCAAACGTGCACCCACTTTTCACGAAAATTTAGGCCTTTGGCTGACCAAACAAATGCACAAACTTGTTCCAATCACAAAGCACCTCATTTTATATCAACAATTTGTAATAAATCAAAATTAAAATTAAAATCGCTCATAAAACATATCAAATTGCTAAAAAAAAGCCATACCGAAGCGATAGAAGACGATGTAAACAAAACGGGAAAACATAAAAAACGCTACGAAAACTTATTTCTGAAATTCGATTACAAATACAACGATGGCGGATTGCGTGATCTGTAGTCGTTGGTTCAAGGGTGCGTTGCATGAACCAATTAGAACAGATCTGACAGATCGGAAAAAAGTGTGTGACGTTCGTAATTTTGAAGCTTGCTATTTCTGTTTTGCTTCTTTCTCTATGTGTATTTTGTCGGTGGTTTATTTCAGTGATTTTTAAGCTATTTTCGATAAATTTTTTGTGCAAATGTAATTAAAATAAATATTGGTGGCAAAAATAATTTAGTTAGCACAAACGAAAAATTGCTTGCATTTTTTTCTTTATTCTTCGTCTTCATATTCTTTGTTTACTTTTCAAAGAAAATAACTTGGCGCAGAAGTCACAAATGTCAGCCAGAAGATAACTTTTTCCTTTTGCTTCATCTTGTCAGATCGTGTGTATTTGGATAATGGGTGCGTTGGCATTTAGTAAACACGCTTCATCACGATGCAATATGTTGTGCAACTTTATTACTAATCTAATCATCGTGCTAAACACGTTGCAGAGAAAGAGGTTGACTAATTTGACGATTGGGCCAGCGAATGTATGAAAATTTAAATAATTTGGCCAGCAATTAAAGTACAACTCCACAACAAGTTTTTCAGGCATTCAGCATTAGCTGAATTGTACAGCTGAAAACCTGAAGAACGCGAACGCCTGAAAAACTTGTAGTGGATTTCTACTCTTACAGATCTATTCTGCGCTGGTAACATAAATTTTGTAAGCGGTAATTAAAGTGTCTGTCAATTTTTAAACCTTTTTCGCATTCTGTGCGCTCTTGTCACCGGTAAATTTGGTTACCATCTCATAAACTGGTAACAAAATATTGCTCCGTGAAATATGCAATACAAGAATTTCCACAAATCTTCATAGCTGAACTGCTGAATTTTTCACTGCATTACCAACGTACCTAGAATCTTGGTAACAAGAAGTGGTAACATTTTTTGTAATACAATTTTCCGGTCACAAAATCTCGGTAACGTGCAGAATAGACCTGTAAGAACTATTAAAAAAAAAGTGAAACCTTTCAGAATTCTATGAAATCCTGGTATGCAGGGTATACATATACATATGATTAGATAAAGAAGATGTTGATGACACAAGGAGTTCATACCAACGGTAAATGTTGTTTTTGTACGATTGCTACTACCTGTAGTAGTTGAATCATGCCATCACCATAACGGTCAAATGGTTGGAGCGTATATACTTTGCATAACATAGACGTTACACAATCAAGGGCTTTGTTTCTTTTCTTTTCTAGCAGATGATTATCAAGAAGAAGAAACATGGGAAAATTCAGAGAATTGCGCTCACTGAGAGCGAAATAAAGAAATAGTAAAGAAACGCAAAACTAGCAAGTAAACAGCTGCTCAATGTATTTGACTATTGAAATATCGATGTATTGTTGTCAAAGTTTGAACTGTCAAGCAAAGCGATGGAAGTCTTAAGCTGATGCCAGATAAAACTTTGTAGCTTTGCGTGACATTTATAACTTTGCCAGCAAAGCGCCAGACGCAAAAGGTATTCTACAATAAACGCCAAGAAAAGAATTTTGTACCGCTTTTTTACTAGTCAAAGTTGCTGTGGATTTTATATATTTTGCTTTAAAATTATCAGCAATATAATTAAGTTTTATGTTTCTACATGAAAACTCGAATTTGGACGAAGTAAAATAAATATTAAGCCGGCTAATTGTCAAAGCGCGCAAAAAGATGGGAGTTGGCCATCTTTTCGCTTCGCGCTGCAGCTTCAAAGATTTATGTGGCATGCTTTGTGCATTTTCATACAATTCGTCTTATCTGTCAAAGCAAATCTGTCACATAAAGCGAAGCAAAAGTTTTATGTAGCATCCGCTTAATAATAGGGGCTGAGCACATTAGCCTGCTCAGTCGGACTGAGCATCCCACCACCAGTGTGACCTCGGGCTTATGAAAAATTGTAGCAGAACTTTTTTTTATTTAAGTATCAAAGCAACATTATGGAATAAAACCAATAATTTTTATGAAAAACCATTTTCCAAAACATTTTAACATTTATTGCACGAGCAGGTTGAAATTATTTCCCCGAGTGCGATTTGCGCAATTTCAGTTGCAGTTACACCTTGCAATTTTTATAGCCTACGAACTGTTGTGTGTGGGCACTTTGATGTCTAGATATGCGTAAGCATTTGCCGCATGACGCCGCCAGACAACATTCTGTCAATTCGGTGTTAAAAAACATTTAAATCTTAAACAAACTTACTGAATAACTTCCTAAAACGTTGTCATAAATAATCCAATAGGAAACAGATTCTTATTTTGATTTAATATTAATATTTCTCGATATAATAACCACTAGCACGCTTTCTATCAAGTGAAAATATGGCTGTCAAACTATCAAATTGCCTGCAATAGATTGCAAGCAATAGGGCGGTATCCATTGGAAATATATTTTGTGACATGGTTATCACGACATTGGTGGCTCTGATCTAATACTTTATGAACTTAGAGGATTTTACACGAACTTGCAGGAAGTTTCAGAAAAAATGCTCCCGTACTCCAAAACCCTCCAAACTCTTCTAAATGAGAGCGACTTTTGGAGAGTTGTGTAGAGAACGAAGTTGCAAGATTTTACCCGAACTTTTGCTTCTGGTAAAAGTAAAGGGTCAAGCAATCACTGGTTGACGTTTTTACCGGAAGAATGGTTTTTTTGTTCCCGTACTTTTTGTTGTTACTCACTTTTTACTCTCACTTCAGAGAGTAATTTTGCTGTTTGACAGTTTTACAGGATTTTTCACGAAAAGTATTGGATCAGAGCTGGTGTTTTCCTGTGGAAACAGGACCTTACTGTTGGCGCGGCTTAGGAGTTAATAAAACAATTGTATTTTTTGTTAT